TAGATGAAAAATCTAGAAAAAGATCTGAGCCCACCCACCCTCAGGGCTCTCCGACACCTCCAGCAGCTCCTGGACTCGCATGGGGGAGATGACCAGCGGGTGGAAGACGCCTTTGAACTTCATGTCTGGACCTGAAGCACAAAGCAGAGTTTGCTCCCAGTTCTCCCGGCTGCATCCAGATCAGAAACCAGAAACCAGCAGGACTGGCTCTGCCGGAGCTTCTGGATCAGATCCTGCTCAGACTGGACCCCTGCAGACCTATGTTGGTGTTGCCCATGAGCAGCGGCGCGGCGGGGTGTCGGGCCTTCAGCTGGACCAGCTCCTCCAGGGAGACGGGGGCCAGCCAGCTCATCCTCTCCCCCAGGAAGGCCAGGCTCTGGGGGCCGGCCGCCTCCGCCATCAGCTGGGGACGATCAGCACAGTTCAGCACAGAGAGATCAGCGGCTGAGGGAATTTATTTTTTTTATTTTTCGGTTGACTTGTCATTTCGTGTTTTATTTTGAAAGGTACATCCCCTTGTTTCAGGTCTCCCCTGTGTGTCACATGTCTGCTTGTCTTCCCTGATCCCCGATTGTGTTCCCCTAAGGTTCCCTTTCCCTTTGTTTTCAAATAGTCTGAGTCTCTCCTTGTCTGGTGCCAGTGTGTTTCGTCTTTTGTCAAAGTATTCCTTGCGCCTTGAACCCCATTTATGCCTCGTAAGAGAGTTTTTGATTTAGTATTTTGTAAGTTTTGCCATCCTCTGTTTAGAATGAGTTCATTTTGTACTTTGTTCATGTTTATGTTTATGCATTTGGCAGACGCTTTCATCCAAAGCGACTTGCACAGTAGAAACAATATTACATTTATCATCATTATGACAATAGCTTTGTTCATAGCTTTGTCTGCCTCGTTTTCTAGAGTGATTATTATTTTGGTACGCTTTGGTTCCATTAAAACCTGTTTTGCCAAAGGTCTCTGCGCCCGAGTTCTGCCTTGAACCCCGGACCTACCACCAGCTCTGGGGGGAAGATCAGCTCCTGCGTGGGGTCCAGAGGCAGGAACTGGTCCTGGTCAAACAGCCGGGGCTTTTCCTGGAGGGACAGAGGAGAGGGCTTCAGGAGGGCGCTGGAATGGGAGGAAGAACAGGGGAATCCACCTACATCCTCAGCTCCGGCAGCCTTCTCCTCCCCGTTCAGGCAGCACTGGGCGCCCCCGTTGGCCCGGCAACAGTCGGCCTCCTGTGGACACGAGCCATGAAACCCCTCTGAACCCTAAAACTCTGAACTGGGGGCGACGCCTGGACCATGAAGCTACCTGACAGAAGGTCCTGCAGCCGTCCACGATGGGCCGGTATCCAGTGCAGCGACACATGTTTCCTGAAAGCAGCAGCTGAGCTCAGAGGAACACTCAAACCAACACGTTTAACATGAAACCAGAATAACCAACCCACCGGCCAGAGCCTGAGTGATGTCCTCCATGCTGGGCTGGGGCTGGTTCCTCAGCAGGGCGTACATGGACATCACCATCCCCGGAGTGCAGAAGCCACACTGGGAGCCGTGAGCCTTTGCTATCCGCTCCTGCAACCACACAGTTTGTTTACCACACGGGTCACAGACAAAAGATGCAAATAAATAACTGGTGATTTAAGTCTGAAAATAGTACACAGTCATGGGTATAGTATACAGTCATGGGCCAGAAAGGGTTTCATAATAACTATTTAATCTATCATCAGAAAAAGCATCTTAAATGTCCAACAATCTCATTCATGCTCGAAAGTTAAAAAAGGCTCAGACGCCTGCTTTAATCTAAACTGTGAGAAAAGAGGATTAAACCAGGTGGAAATAAGAGGAATCCCAGAACAGCAACAGGATCAACAGAGGAAAATCTGTGATTTAAGACACAAAGATGCCACACTGGGAGCCGTGAACCTTTGCTATCCGCTCCTGGAACCACACAGTTTGTTTACCACACGGTTCACAGACCTAAGATGCAAAAAAATAACTGGTGATTTAAGTCTGAAAATCTATCATCAAAAACCAGAAAAAGCATCTTAAATGCTTTAATATAAACTGTGAGAAAAGAGGATTAAACCAGGTGGAAAAAAGAGGAATCCCAGAACAGCAACAGGAGATTTAAGACACACAGACGCTAAATGTCTGTGCTTTTGGGTCATAATCTGGTGTGTAATGATGGAAAAAGGAGAGTAGAACTGAAAAAGAGCCCCTATGAGCCCTGATCCTGAACAGGTGTGGTTCCTGTTCACCTGCACCGGGTGGATCCTGGTCCTGGAGCTGCCCACGCCCTCCACCGTGGTCACCGCGGCGCCCTGCAGCTGGCAGAGCGGCAGCAGGCAGGCGTTGGCCGCGTAGTGGCTGCTCCGTGAAGGGAAAAAACACACTTTCCCATCACAGTCTGACCAACAACATCCCTGTACGTGTTACATTGGAGCCAGCCAAACTGAAGGTTTCTACTTCCATAGTGAATCACTAATCTGGATGGCAGCAACTAGTTCTACCACCTCCACCTCTGCTGGGCTTTAAAACCCAGAATCAGAATCACAAATACTTTAATAATCCCAGAGGGAAATGATTTTTGTTACTGGCTCCATAAATAAAACAGCAGCATATACATATATACATGTCTGTACATATATACATATATATACAAAATTCCTCATATGATATAGATATAGATAACAACACTAAGAGATTACCGGCTGCACTACACAGATAAAACAGAAGATCAATTCTGTTCAAGTATTTGCGTTTTATGACTAAACCTGAGAGCTGACTGGAGCAAATCAATAACCAGATCAAAGGGGATTTTACAGGAATTTTCAGGTCTGAACTGATTTTTATCAGTTTTTCAGCCAAATGTTATTTTCTGAATCATGTTGATAGACACAATAATAAAAACTTGACCTGCTTTTCTCTGGCGAACAGCCCAATGTGAACAATCTGACCTTTGCCCCCTATCTATGGAACCAATAGGAAGCTCCCGTTTTCTGGGCCGATTCTATTTCTGTGCATATGAGACTAAACATTAACCTATTAAGCAGAATTTGATTGAACTTTGAGCTCACTGAAGCCCGTCTGAAGTGATTATCCACAAGTTTAAAATGATGGCTGAACATCCAGAAAAAAATTAAATAAACTGTAAATATAAGAAGTTATCAGTGAAGGATACAGGACGCTTCTGGTTGCAGGCTGGTAGCGGGAAACCATGACGGTGCACGCCCCACACCCCCCCCCACCACAGCCAGACTTGGTCCCAGTTAACCTCACTGGGG